GCCCGCCACACAGCTCCCAAATAACTCACACAGAGGCTTGTTCTTTCTTTATGAATACCTGGCCGTAGCTTGGCTTATTTCTTGCCAGCTTTTTGTAACTTAAATTATCCTGTCTACCTGTTGCCTCTAGGCTTTTACCTTTCTCTATTTCTGGATATCTTTCTTTACTTCTTACTTGGTGGCTTGCTGTGGAGCTGGGTGGCTGGCCCCAGGAGTCCTCCTCCTTCTCTCATTCCTCGATCTTTTCTTCCCAAAGTTCTCCTCCTACTTATTCTCTCTGCCTGCCAGCCCCACCTAACTTTTCTCCTGCCTGCCTATTGGCTGTTCAGCACTTTATTAGACCAACCAGGTGTTTTAGACAGGCAAATTAGCATGGCCTCACAGAATTAAACAAATCTAACATAGAAGAATGCAACACATCTTTGCGTCATCAAACAAATGTTCCACAGCATAAACAAATGTAACATATCTTTACCTAATATTCTACAACATCTCTACCATTCAATTTCTTGAAATAAGTTCAAAACTGCATTTATACAGTAATAATTATTCACCCAACTACTGATAAAACATGTAAAGAATTTTCGTTTTTAAAAGGTATTTATGTGGTTGGAGAGGTGACTCAGCGATTAAGAGCCTTGACTGCTCTTCCAGAGGTCCTGAGTTCAATTCCCAGCAGCCACATGGTGGCTCACAACCATCTAGAATGAGAGCTGATGCCCTCTTCTGGCCTGCAGGCAAACATACAGACAGAACACTGTATACATAATAAATACATTTTTAAAAAAGATATTTGTGTATTATTATTGTGCATGTAGGATATATGGCGGGAGTGCATGCATGCCAAGGCACACGTCTGGAGGCCAGAGAACACCTTTGTGTGGTCAGTTGCCTCCTGACATCCTCAAGCTGGTTCTGCAGAGAGCACTCAGGTCATCAGGCTTGCTCAGCAAGCACTTTACCCACTGCACCACCCCACCACCCTACTGACTTCTTATAATGACCAAGCTTCCAAAACTTCATAACTCTACAAATCTACTTCATTTGGACTACTCAACCTTAACACGGAGGGGGATTCAGACATGTCTTCTAATATATATGAAACCTGACAGCACAGAAAGACAAAATATATTACCCCATTATATGAGAGATTTAAAATAGTCTAAATCATAAAGAGAAAAGGTAGCATGGTGATTGTCTGGAGCTTGGAGTTGGAGTGGCAATTTATCCACTATTGATTATGGGTATAGAATTTCATTTTTATAATGTAAAACAAATTATGGAAATTGATGATGGTAGTTGGACAACATTATAAATGTATTTAGTGCAACTGAACTATATAATTAAAAATACTTAAGATGAGCCAGCAAAATGGTTCAGTAGATAAAGGTGCTTGCGACCAAGTCTGATGATCTGAGTTCAATTTTGGGAACCTCTGTAAAGTCAGAAGGAGAGAACTGACTCCACAAAGTTGTCCTCTGACCTCCAAACTCACACAAAGATAAAAACAGAATTAAAAATTAGTTATGATACTAAATTTTATATTATATGTATTTAACACAAAGAAAATATAATAAACTACTATAAATTTTTTTAGTAAAAAAATAAAATTTATTTCTATTCAATTTTATGTAACATTATCAATTCTAGGCATTTTTGCCTCTGGTACCATGGTAGTTTGAATAAGAATGGCCACCATAAGTTCATATGTCTGAATATTTGGTCCCCATTTGACGGAACTGTTTGGGAAGATCTAGGAGGTGTGGCCTTATTGGAGGAGGAGTGTTACTGGGGGTTGCCTTTGAGGTATCAAACGATTTGTGCCATTTCTAGCGTGGTCTCTGTTTCCTGCTTGGTGTTTCAGATGTGAGCTGGCAGCTGTTCCTGCCACCATGCCTTTACCCTGGCATCACTGACTCTAGCCCTCAAACACCATAAGCCCAATTAAACACTTCCAAAAATTGCCTTGGTCATGGTGTTTTCTGACAACAATAGAAAGGTAACCAAGACAAGCATCAAGCATCGTGGTTCAGTGAGCCACACCTAGATCTGAAACAACAAACTCTTCAGGATTTATTGCCATCAACTGGTAAGAATTTACAGAACGCTTTCCATGTGTAAGAGAGTTAAGGAAAGTTAGGAAACACAAGGAAAGGCGCCCAAAGGGCTCCAGAGTCCTCCGCCATTTTCACTTACCAGAAATAAAGTGCGTGCGACGATTAGCAAATGAACTCAGGAGAACAGGAGTGCTCGCAGCAATTCTAGCATCTCTTCAGGATCTGCACAATGAGATTCAGTTCCCTGGCTTCTCTCACAAAGCACAGAGCTGGGCACAAGTCCACATGAGCTTTCGAGTTGGCTAGAATACTCGATGGCAAGGCCAGCTTGTATAGCCAAGCACCAAGAGTCTGCAAAAATAAAGATAAACTTTCTGAATTCTAGAGAAGTAAAGGGAACATGACTCGGGGACAGGCCCACCAGTGACAAGGCTGGTCGGGCTATCTAAATACAAGGCCCCACCCTCTCATTGCAAAGTTGGCTGCATGTTGTTTTGACTTCCGGTATTGTGATGCATTCACTGCAGGGTCTAGCTGCTCATCTTAACAGCCACCCCTGTGGCTCTATTGCTTTTGATATAGAATTCCTAACTCAGTAATGGTAAGGGAGAGGACCAGCCAGCATCCTGCCCCTTCATGCTGAGAGGTGCTGGGGGAACACATTTCAGAACACTGAATAGAGTGATGGGGTTGTCTAAAGGATTTCAGAGAGGCAAGACAAACATTAGGCCATGGTGACTTAGTTTTGATACCAGCTAGTATGGTGCCTGAGTAGGCCAGGAGCATGTTTTAGAACAAAAGGCTGCACAGCACGATTCTTGTACGCAGAGAGGCATTTGAAGCCTTAAAAAAAAAAGTACCCAATGTACAATGGCCCCTTGTTTGATTATAGTAATTATTCATCAGACTCCAGATGTTAGGAAAGAAAAAAAAACTTTATCTTTTTCTGATTAGAAACATGAATCCTTTCAAATGAGTGTGTCACCGAAATGCAATGTGTATCATCATCCCTTGCAGCAGAGAGGGGCCAAGTAAATAACTGAACCAACCCAGATCCTTATTAAGAGAATTTGTTTCCAAAGGGAGAGAGATCTGATGGAAACTGGCCCTAAAAAAAGAAAAGGGGGCCGGGGGTGGGGGGTAGGGGGCGGGGGAGTCGGAAATGGCTATGAGGATGTACCTGTTCCAAAGGTGATGGAGAAGCCTGGAGCATCCCCTAATTATGAATCTTTGATTTTTTGGGGGGGAGGGGCGCAGTCACGGCTATTCCCGGCAGACCAGGCCATCTGTGTACACTAGCCCTTAGCTTTTGCCAAACTCCATGACATGAAAGAGAAGAGGACCGATGTCTCCTTCCACTGGTGTCCAAAGGCAGTCACACAGTAGTTTCTGAGGCGTGCCAGCTGGCTTCGGGGATGGTTCCCTGTCACCTTCCTCCTGTGCCGTGTCACTGATGGGGTATTGTGGAAATAACGGTCGGTGTGTTCCCAAGCCAAACTCATAGGCATTGATGCCGTCCGCCACCCCAAGCTCTCATCCCAGTAGCCTCAGAGACTCCTACAGGAGGCCATATGGTAAGAATCAAGGGCAGCTGCCCACAACCAGCCAGATGAATGAGTCACCTAGAAATGGACCTTTCGGGCTCCCTAGTCCTCAGATGACGTCAGCCACAGCTGACGCCGTGGCAACAGCCTCATGAGAGACCCGAGCCAACTTCCGCTTGTGTCTCCTGGACTCCAGACACACAGGAACTCTGTGAGATAATGATCAGTTCTTGTTTGAAGTCACTACATTTGGGGCTTGTGTGATGCTTTGGTAGTTGTTACTCCCTTGGCCCTATTCTTTTCCCTCAAAGCATCTCATAATTAAAGCCGTGTATTTCACTTTAGACCCAAGTCTAAATGGGGTGTGTCAGGGGGCGGGGTACATTTGCATGCACATGCATGCTCACACAGCTCAGCTCAGAGATACTGAAATATGCTGTATCTACGCATTTCGCAGGCTCTCATCTATGAATAGATGCTTCAAACACTTCTTGCTGCTTTTTTTTTGGGGGGGGGCATATTTTGAGATAGCATCTCTCTATATAGCTCTGGCTATATTGGAACTCACTATGTAGACCAGTCTAGCCCCAAACTCACTGACATTCTGCTACCTCTGTCTCTCTCCTGAGGGCTGGAACTAAAGGCATGTGCCCCCACGCTCAATTTAGCTGAATTTTTTTTTTTAAAGAAGAAAAAATATTAGCTTTACCAATTACTGAATTTAAAAGCATCTCTTTATCATTGCATATTCAAGGCAATGTGTCCAGTTAAGGAAACACCTACAGATGGAGTATGTACATACCTTCAACAGCTTACATGTTGTAAGTGCATAGGTGTGTGTAAAATAAGAAGCCCATGATGGCATGTAATATTTATGTAAAGAGGTATCCAGAGACAAGGAAGAAATATCACTTGAAATATGATTCAGTAGCAGTCAAGACTCTAAAAAACAAAAGAACTGGAATGGCCGTTTCAAAACAAGGAAGCTGGGGCTGGAGAAATGGCTCATTGGTTAAAGTGTTGGGACCTGTGTGGCCTGGGGACCTGAAACTGTCTGAGTGAGGCAGAGGACCCGAGTTCAATTCCCAGCACCCTTGTTGGGTGCCAAAGGACATGAGACTCTCTTCTGACCTTCTTGAGCACCTGTATTCACATGCACATACCACCCTCAACAATCACATACACATAATTAAAAATGAAATAAATCTTTTTCTTTTAAACGATGCTATATGCTCTATGCATCAGGCTCAGTGCCGATGAAGAGGAATAGCTTCGGTGTGTGGGAGGAGTGGGCCATGGCTGTGTTAGAAGCAGGGATTTTTATGGAACAAGAAAGACACACTGAGGCATTTTCACAAGTGGGGGAGATAATGTCAAAGCTAAGCTTCGGGAAGGCATTCACCGCACAAGGACCGAATTAGTGGTGGGGAGCGGCTGAAGCTGTGAATGCCGGGAGGATGGGAGTGAACAAAGGAGAGAGAGATCATTTCACTTGAGATGTGAGTGGAATTCTGGATGGACAGAAAGACTGCCGGGAGACGAGAAAGGGCGAGGGCAGAAGGTAACCCACGTAGAAACACAGGTTAGAGCTCTTAGCCTCTGCCTCCGCATGCAGGTGGGCGCCTTTTGCAAGTACAAATTCATTGATTTGCATCGGGAAGTGTCAGCTGGGCTTGCAAATAAAGGATAAAACCATTCTGTGTAGTGATGCAAATATTCTCCTCAGTAGACAGGAATACTGAAAAGCTCCAAATTAGGCATTCCTTTGAAGGGAAAAAAAAAATATCTTTGCTTGCTCTTTCTTTTAATGGGATTTTTTTTTTTTTTAAACAGATTCCATCTGACTCATCCCTACCTTGCAGTGTGTTTTTAAATGCACTCTTGGCTGGACTCTGCCTGGCTAATGAAATGGCTAAAGAGGACCTAACCCAGTTTTCTAATCCCAACTTCTCAGAAGCTCTAGGGAAAAGGGTGAAACCTGCCTGCTCCCTGACTATCAGCTAACTGTGAGTCTTCCCTTGTGCAGAAGTAACTTGCTCTTCAGCTGCATCTGTCGTTTTCCTGATCTCAGAGACAGACGTCCAACTCACCAATGCCAATGCCTTCCTTACACAAAGCTCCTGAGCTTCAAGGTCAACCACTGGGTTTTCCTTTTCTTTTCTCTGCCCACGCTTGAAGCAAATGCGTACTGAGTGCAAGCTGGAACAGATCCTGGCTAGAGGAGTGTGACCAGCAGTAGAATATGAAAATAATAATCATGCTGATATTAATAATTTACTGAGGCCTATTAGCTGGGCTTAAGCACTTTCATATATCAGCTCACTTCATTCTCACAGGAGCACACCAGGAGAGTTTAATTAAAATCTCAAAAGCCAAAGGCTGGAGCTCAGCAGGCTGGGAGCTGAGGCTCCCAAATATTAAGCCTAAAATGGGAATTTTCTACAGATATTTTTGTAGTCATCAGGGTTAGGGTTTTCTATAGCCACGGCTACAAATGTAATGGCTTACAGGACACATGGATGCATCTTTCCAAGTTCTCTCCTGCAGTTGTCTCCTGGCTCTGACTGCTGCCTCCCTTTTCCAGGGTAAAGACTTCTGTGAGCATATCAGACCCCAGGAAACCCAAGCTAGAACCCCGACGTTATGATCAGCAGCCTTAGCTTTCCTGTGCTCTGCAGAGCAATACACTCAGTTTCAGCCATATATTAGCACTGGTTATTTATCAAAACTCCCCCAATGCTCCTGACAAGAAACACAAAAATCTCAAATGCTGGAAAAAAAAAAGAGTGATAAATAAGAGAAGATTTATAATAATAAATAAAGAAGAAAAAAGCATGTGGTCAGATCAGAAGAAGGCGCTGAGAGAAGAATTCATATTGGGTGAATTAAGGTGTATCTGAGACCCACTTCAAATCCAGACACTGTTCATGGCCTCCTTTAGTCCTTCACAGAGTCCTTATATCAGAATTCTCCTGCCACATCCCTAGGAAAAACCAAACCTGCCTGGGATGGATGGCTATTCTTGGTTGTCAACTTGACTGTGTCTGTAATGGACCACAACCCAGAAATGGAGGCCACACTTGTGGTCCAGATCTTGAGGCAGGAAGGCACACCTTTAATCTGGGCCACACCTGCTGGAAGGACAATGGAAGACCGAAGGGGGTGTGCTCACCCTTCACCTGATTGCCCTCACCTTGTCAGCACACCCATTCCTTCACTGGCCCTGGAACCTCCTTCTTCGGGACTCCAGCATCTACAGAAGACCAGCTGAGACACTCGGCCTCATGGGACTGTGCAACTCTAGACTCTTGGACTTTCCATTCACAGCTAGCCATTGTCAGACTGCAGCCTGTAAGTCATTCTAATAAATTCGTGTGTGTGTGTGTGTGTGTGTGTGTGTGTGTGTGTGTGTGTGTGTGTGTGACAGAGAGAGAGAGAGAGAGAGAGAGAGAGAGAGAGAGAGAGAGAGAGAGAGTTTCATTCTATAAATTCCGTGACTCTAGAGAACCCTGACTAATAATGCCTTTCTCTGACTACCTGTAGCAGGAATCTTAAAAGGTCTTATTAATAAAAACAAACCCAGGGCCAGGTATTGGGGTGAATATTGGAAGATCAGAGAGGTAGAACAAGCCACAGCCAACCTCACCTTGCCAATTCCTCAGCTGATCCTGTTTCCTCAGACTGGAAGCCTCTTGAGTCCTCATCCGAATGGATCTCAGCTGAACTGCTGCTCAAAAGCCTAAAAGCTTAACCAGCTCTAGTTCCTGGTTTTCACGCCTTATATACCTTTCTGCTTCCTGCCATCAATTCCTGGGATTAAAGGCGTGTGTCACCAGGCCTGGCTGTTTCCAATGTGGCCTTGAACTCACAGAGATCCGGATGGATCTCTGCCTCCAGAAGGCTAGGATTAAAGGCGTGAGTGCCACCATCATCTGGCCTCTATGTCTATCTAGTGGCTGTGAGGTTCTCTGACCCCAGATAAGTTCATTAGGATGCACAATATATTGGGGAACACATTATCACCACAACCACCTCCCCTCCCCAAATTCACAATCCTTAATTGCTACTGGAAAGCAGCTTCTTTGGAGCCTTACAGGGTGTGTTCTTTCACCTGTTCTAGTCATCGAAGACTTCACAGGCTCTCACTACCTTGTGGTGAATGCTGGCACCAGTGTGTGCACAAAGCGCTGCCGAGCTAGAAGGCAGGTAGGTGCCATACCTAACCAAAGAGACAGAAGGCTTCCCAAAGATAGAGCGCTTGAGGCCATCCATGTCAGAAGGTGAGGCAAGAGCAAACGAACTAGAGCAGACACCGGCTAGGACCTGGAGGCAGAAGTGATTTGGGGCTCATGTTAATACTGAGATTTGCAAGAGAAAAACTAGTTCCGGCCGGGTGGCACACGCCTTTAATCCCAGCACTCGGGAGGCAGAGCTAGGCGGATCTCTGTGAGTTCGAGGCCAGCCTGGGCTACAGAGTGAGTTCCAGGAAAGGTGCAAAGCTACACAGAGAAACCCTGTCTCGAAAAACCAAAAAAAAGAAAGAAAGAAGGAAGAAAAACTAGTTCCACAATTTTGAGCTGAATTTAAAGCAAGCTTGAATTGGATACTGGCCAGGTCGATGGACTCTGGCCAGGTCAGTTTCTGATGAAGGAACACCAGCGCACTCAAGCATGGGGCTCTGGCAAGCCTCTTCGGCCCGATTCCCTCTGCCTTGGATTACACTCCCGAAGCTAGACCCCAGTTGGTACTTTACTTCTATCAAGGAATCTAGGTATAGAACACAGATGTTCTATATCTAGATTGGCAGCAAGCCTTCTTACCCACTGAGCCATATTGCCAGCCCCAGACACTACATTTTCCATACAGCACAGACATTGTATGAGTTCATTCTCCAAGAAGCCAGGCAAGGCAAAAGGGTTAGCTATTGGGAACAAGGTGATGTTCGATAGCTTCCAGTGGTCGGTGCTTTAGAGTTGAGCATGGATAAGCACAGTGACACCTTGTATCATTGGAGTCACAAACCCATGCACATGCCACGTGTCCATGACATTCTCAAAAGTCGGGTTTGTATAAGTAGAGAGAGCTGACAGCAAAGACACACTTTCAATTCTGTCATCTTTCTTCCCACAGAGGGGGAAAGTAATGTCAGCTGACAGTACAGCATGACTGCAGGACAGGAAAGTGGGTTCCCTACAGGCTCCAGCCTTGTGGGGTCCTGCTTTCTCCAGCCTCAGATCTTACCCCTGCCATAGAGAGAAAAGGTGTCTTTATGTTCTCCCATGCTAGGCAGCCCCTATAATAAAGCATAGAATAACAAGACAATCACATGCAAATTCATCCAGTAAGTTTTACAAGACACTGGAAACTTTCTAAGGAAATAAAGACCTAACACTGTGGTTTTAAAATTATGCTTTTGTCAGTTTTCATGAAGCATGACCAGGACTGGTATTGTTCAGTGGGGCAAAGACAGTTTGATCTCAGTAATGAACTGGGGACGTAGCAAATATTGTCTGTTCTTGTTTTTCCCTGGGATCCTGGGTCTTCAGAAAGAAGGAAGGCCATTTCTCCCTGGTATAGGGAGTGAACCTCTTGCATGAGGCTTCAGCAGGAGGTTATAAAAATCCTTCCTCATTTTATGACCTACTTCCAACAAGAAGGGTAATGGAAGGCTAAAGAAACCTTTCTGTGTCTTCTGTGTGTTCCTCAATGTGCAAATGTTCCAGATTTTAAGGTAATTTGTCCTAAGCTCCTTATGTTTTTTTCTAACTCAACACTTTCCTCGTGTAAGAAACAACAATTGGGCATGCGCTATACTTCTTCTTTACAGAAACATCCAAAGGGTTGATCAAAGTCTCTGCACTGATCCTCATCTATGCAGACCATCAGTGAGTCATAGGTTGAGTACATTGGGGTGGGGAGAAAGAGTGGTAGGCACACCCCTCTGGGAAAGTGTGAAATAGGACATTAAGTACGCTACAGTCCCTAAACCACGTGTTACTACTGGGTGATCTGGAGTGAGCCTAGAATGCTGTAGGAAGAAGGGACTGCAAAATCTAAGCCTGGAGACTACAAAGGCCTTCTGCGGGTCCTCCTTTGCAGGATCCAAACTGTCAACAAGAGAAGTGCCTAATGCAGAGAGAGTGGGGCACCCATACAGGCTTGTCTGTCTTCTGCCTGTAGGAGGGAGGAACTTACCTATTAGGGATTTATAGGGAACTGATTGCACCAGACCAATGTTGGCTTAGGTTGTTCAGTTGGTGGGATGGGTTTAAAAATGACCAGTCTAGAAGCTACTTAACACACAGTGGCTAAAAGGCCACAAATCCATAGATATTTAAAATATAAAATTGAGAGAATTGGGGTTGTGCAGGACATATAGACCCCCTGCTCAATCCTCCAAATAAAAAGAGGACCCCCTACTCCCCCTGATTTCCATCTTGGGCGACTAGGTCATTGGATACAAATGTAGCTCTCTAGGCTCCTGTTCAGTACTCATCAAATTCTCAGACATCCATATGTGCTCTGGATATCCCAGGGTATCTGACACTAAACTACATCCATATGTTTTAGACATCTTTAATTGTTGTAATTCTACAAGGAATGCATCTTACCTCACAATTTTAAGAAACACGCATTTTGAAAATATAATCACAAAAATGGTCAGCCGAGTGCCTGGGAGTCTCAGAAAGGCAACACAAAAGGAAGAAAACATGCAGCAGATGCTCAGTGCTTTTAACGAAGTAGCACCTTTGGGTGGGTACCCTTAGAGTTCAGGGTATCTTTAACAGAAAAGTCAGAATGTGAATTACTAAACAACTGTTTCAGCCTCACGGTAAGGTAGGTTTATCTTTAGTGCTAGGATGTAGCATTTGTCTCCTGGCCATTGAGACATGAATGGCTTACAATAAAACAAATTGTATTTGGTAATTAAGATCATGTGCGTCGATTCCTAGCACTTATCTCTTTTGAAACATCCTGGTAAGAAAGATCCAAAAATCACAGCTGAGCTGTGAAAGGAGTAGGTGAGGGCTAGGAAGGGGGCTCCGTAGAGGCAAAGGGAGAGGCACTTGGCTTTTGTTTTTGCCAAAGCGCTACTAAAATTAACAGTGTTATTTCCATGCCTGTAAGGTAGATAGTGTGATTATTGTCCAAGCAAGGTTTCTTCTGCGCTGCAGAAGTGCAAAGGCTTTGACAGCAACAGTCAGATACAGAGATGGATCCAGTCCTATTTCCTCTTGCAGAAGTATAAGTAAACAGCTCCTTTCCCAAATGGCTGAGTTTGATGAATTAATGGCGGCATGCAGTATTCTCAAGAAACCATGAAGATTTTCAATTAGCCAAGAAAAAGAAATCGAAACATCCAAATTGGAAAGGAAAAAAATAAAACTATCTTTGTCTACAGAGGACACAATCCTGTATGTAGAAAGCCCTAAAAGGCTCCATGCCCCTCCAGAAGTCCAATACACAAATTTAGGAAAACTGCCATCAACACAGAACAATTGGCCACACTTATGTGCACTAATAATCAGCTATGAGAAAGAGGGGAGCAGAAAACAACCCCATTTCAATTAGCACTGTGAATCCAGCACTCTGGAGACAGAAGAGAGAATCGTAAGTTTGAGGCCAGCCTGGGCTGTATAGAAAGATCTTCTCTCAAAACAAAAACAAATTGAAATAAAATATAAGGCAATAACATAAAAATCCAAATGTATAATTTCACCAAATGATAAAAGACCCACATGTTAAGTTGATGAAAGAAATTAAGATATAAGTGGAAACATATCTCATGTTCATGGAATGATGGAGTTAATATTGTTAAACTTAGCTAAGATTTAATTCAGTTCTTGTCAAAACCGTCAATGGCAGATTTCACAGAAGTAGAACAAATAATTTAAAAATCTGTGTGGAACCATGAAAGACGCTGATTATTCAAATATATCTTGGACAAGGAAAATAAAACGTGAGGCATCACAGTTTCAGATTTCAGGCAAAGCAGAATGGTTGTAGAAACCAATGTCAGAGAGCTCTGGGAGGGAGGAAGATTCAGGAAGCAGCCCACACCTACAGTCATCCAAGCAAAGGTACCACGAACACAGTGGAGAGAGGATGAATGTGCTCTTTAGTGAAAGATGTTGGGGACACTGGACATCTACTTACAGAACAGACCACAGACCTAAGCCTAAAGATGGAAAATCATGAAGCTCCTAAGAGAAAGTTGGTGTCAGTGATGATTTGTTTAATTAACCACAAAAGACTATACAACCAAAGCCAAAATAAACTAGGTCTGTGTTAGAAGAAGAAGTAGAGGAGGAGGAGGAGGAGGAGGAGGAGGAGGAGGAGGAGGAGGAGGAGGAGGGAGGGAGGGAGAGAAGGAGGGAGAGAAGGAAGAGAAGGAAGGAAGGAAGGAAGGAAGGAAGGAAGGAAGGAAGGAAGGAAGGAAGGAAGGAAGGAAAGTTCCTCTACAGTGAAAGAAAACAGTCAACAAAGCCCCAAGGCCACCTATGGAAACAGAAGAAAGTATTTACAAACTATAAATCCAAAAAGAACTGATACCTAATATACAAGGAACACCTATGACTCAACAGCAGAAAAACAACTGTAGTAAAAGATGGGCAAAGAACTTAGTTTTCAAGAGAACACATGTGAATGACCAGTGGATGCCTGAAAACATACTCAACGTATGCATTGATTAGGGAACTGCAAGTCAGAGCCAGAAGGAAGACTCCATCTTAGTTTAGAAAGGAATTACCAAAAAGTCAAAAGATAGTGTAGGTGACAATCTAGAAGGAAGGAAATACTTGCACACTGTTGATAGGGCTGTCAAAGAGAAGTTATTGAGGGAACCTGGATGGAGGCTGCCACCTCAAATAGACCTGTTTGGACTGCCTTTGGCGGTTCACATCTATAGTCCCAGCATTCAAGAGGTTGGGCAGAAGGATGATAAGTAATGGTAAACCTGCACTATATAGCCAGACCAAAACATAGACACACACACACACACACACACACACACACACACACACACACACACACACACTCCCACCACCTCCACTCCACAAATACAAAGCAAGAAAGAACCACCCCCACTTCTCAGTCCATATCCAAAGGAACTAAACACATTAGCTTAAAGCTATAGCTACACTTCCATGTTCCCCTAGAGAACAAAAGCTTCACATCTTAAGTCGGGGGTAAGCTGGAAGTCATCTGAGGACGGGGGCAATGGCAGAAATGTAAGAAGTTGGGGTCTAGGACAACACACGGAACGCTCTCCAGCAGCCACCTCATGTGCAAACACAATCACCCACATGCCTAGGGAAAGCCAGGGCAGCCCTGCCTCTATCAATTACCCATCTACTATGGGGGAATGTGTCCCTAAACTTGGGAGGGAAGAGGCGAAGATAATTCTGCCACAGTGTAGAGCAGATGAGTCCAGTGAATAGAATCAGTAGAGTTTGCGTCCTAACTGGATTAAAATGAACTAAACTCAGAATCAACTTGAAATCTGGAGGACTGTTTTCTTGTTGTTGCTCACCCCACCTCCTTAACGCCTTCTTTTAAGCAGGTTTTGTTTCCATTCATCCCGCTGATCTCTGACTACTAAATTCTTTATTTCAGCCTCCTATAAGGAGCAAGACCATCCTTTTCATCTTGCCCCTTCAACAAAACCCCTCTTGGAATCCTGTTTTCTGTGTGAGTTGGCACATGAGCTGGGGAAGAAAGCCAGAAGGAGGCGGGTAGGGAGTTTCAGAGACGGCAAATCCACTGCTTGCAGCAATGCCCACCCTGTCCTGGGTACCGCACCCTTACCAGTGATCACCCTTGTGTGCTTAATCAGATTAAAGGCCCCCAAGAAAGCCCTTTCATTCCCTGTCACACAAGGGTGAGCAATGAAATAACCAATATAGCAGTACCGCACTGGGGATGAGAAACAAGCACTGTGGACTGTGTCCCCAGCACCTTGGTGATCTCCCTGGTCCTGCCTGCTTGCTCCCTCAAAGGCAGCTCTGCTGTGGACGGGTGACATTATGGGATAGAATCTGCGGCAAGAACGCCCGTCTATTATGTAAACACAAGGGGCATTAAGTGCAAGGCTTCATATATATCAAAAAATATAATGGGGGAGATTTGTATATCCCATGAATATTTAATTCTTCTGAAAGCTAACTATCTGCATATCAGACTACACCAATGCATGTGTGTGAATTTTTTTTCTCTGTTGTCTTTCAAAACAAAGCAGACAATTTTTTCCCTTCCTGTGGTGCCCTGGAAGTTGCTTAACTGTGCATTGATCCCTTTGATCTACCGAGTGTGTGTATTTTAAGACAAAGTCCGCGGTGCTACTCCCATCTGTGTGGAGGAAGCAGAACAATGAGAGGAAACCAGGTCGCTTTCCATTGTTTTCCTCGTGACCTGGATCACAATTTACTGATGTCTTGAATGCTGTTTAACTTTTGCTGGTGTCTTTTTAATCATAGCATTCATGTGAATTTAAAAAGAGCTCCTTGATATGCAACCACTGTGTAGCATGATATCCCGCCCGCCCTGTTGCACTGCAGAAGCCTGCAGCTGCCTGCAGCTGCCTGAAGCTTAATTATGCATGCATGCATGCAAAGCCCAGATGCTCAGCCAAGAGTGCCTCAACTACAACAGTTTCTCACTTGTTTTTGTTTGAATTATAATTGGGCAGATCTGTATTCCTCAGCCCGGTTTGTAGCTGGAACATGCTCCTCTTCGCCTCTGTTGCTACCTGTGTTTGACACAGCTTCTTCACCAAGGAGCCCTTTGTGGATGCCGCCATGTGCCTCTGAGATCTGAGTAGGGTCATTTACAGGCTTGATGAAATCTTTTACTTACGCAACAATTTTAAAGGGTACAAAAAATGACCTGAGCCCCAGCAGGTTTTCCTCCAGATGGTTTGTAGCTGAAAGAAAGAAAAGGATGGCGAACTAGAAGCTGGCATTGGGATAGAAACAAAGGAGGCTGAGAGCCAGGCGGCCATGCTAGGAAGGAAACTCACACCTGCAGGAAGACTGTGCTGGGGTTGACTTGTTAGCCATGCCCATCTTCTACTCAGAGAACATTTGGGGAGCTGCTTTGCAGCCACCTCAGGGACCTCAGTCTCCAGCACGAACATGGCTCCTGTGTCAATGATGCTGAGTATGTCATGGTACTCTCCAGACCACTTTACTGACAACTGAGCAGAGCAGGAGCTTCCCACAGAGGACGCTCGCTGCTGCTTAGACTGTCTCCAAGGCTCATCCAGAGACATCAGCTCCGTGTTCCAACTGAGCAGCAAGCGAAAGACAAAGATTGAGTTCACTGCAAGGGGTGGTGTTTTGTGATCTCATAGCGATTTTGCACATGTGTACAGATATGTGCTTGTGTGTGTGTGTGTGTGTGTGTGTGTGTGTGTGTGTGTGTACCAACTGCAGACTTACACTGAAGTTTCAAAAGTAAGCAGAAATCTATTGTAGGATAATTACCCATGATAATCTTAAGAATCATATAGAACCAGGATATAGATAGATAGATAGATAAATGGATAAGATAGATAAATAGATAGATAGATATAGACATATACATACCTAAATACATATATAAACATATGTTTTCTTCACCTCTGTTGCTGTTTCTGTTTGACTCAGCTTCTTTTGTCAACACTGTGTGCCTCTGAGATCTGCAAACAGTCGTTTGTGGACTCATCACATCTTTTACCTACACAGCAAATTTGAAGATAAAAAAAATGACCCTAGCCCCAGCAGGTCTTCCTCCAGATGGATAGTAGCTTTTCTTGGAAGGGAGGGAGGGAGGGAAGAAAATAGTTAATCAGAAATTTATGCATGTATGCACATATATGTGTGTGTGTGTGTGTGTGTGTGTGTGTGTGTGTGTGTGTGTGTGTGTATGTGTGTATGTGTGTGTATACATATATATGATGTCCCCCTGTACGAAATGGGAATAATAAATAAGTAATTCTCCTTCAGGAGTAGTTAAGAATGTGCAACAGCTGGGCGGTAGTGGTGCATGCCTTTAATCCCAGCACTCAGGAGGCATAGCCAGGCAGCTCTCTGTGAGTTCAAGGCCAGCCTGGTCTACAGAGCGAGATCCAGGACAGGCACCAAAGCTACACAGAGAAACCCTGTCTCGGAAAAAGAAAAAAAAGAATATGCAACAGTGTTTAGCATCTAATATGTACCACACAGTCAATGTCTATAGATGTTATAGCTGAGAAGCTAAGAGCTTATATGCTCTACAGAATATCTGAGTCACACTTTCTTAGGTAAACAAAATACACAAAATTGTCTCAGTGTACAGACTGGGACTCAGTGTTCAGTTTTCATATCGCAGCTCTGTCATTTCAAAGGCTTTGATTCTGGGAAGATCTCAGTAGCCTTACCTAGGAAACGGGAATCACAGTGGTGTCCATTTCAAATCATTATGATGGTATCATAACATGGTTATTGAGTGCAAACCAAGAATGTCTCTATGACTTAACTTCACTCTACTCAACTTGGCCTGAATTAGAGCCTCTAGCCATAGTCTAAGAGAATCAAATTTCAGCAAGAATCCTGAGATTCTTCAGTTTGTAGAAAGCATCCACCCTTGATGTACAACCATTTTCTCTACCAATCAAATTCTTCCTGTTCCACAGTTACTTTTGGGAATCTAGTCATTCTGGCCTACTCGCCATCAAACTCCACTTTAGACAGAATCCTTTCTTGGTGCTATTTCCTCCTAGTGATTTACATTCCTGCTCCTACCTCTACATTTCTTTAATTCATTGAGAAGCAAGCCCAGTATATCCCAACACCACACAATCAGATGGTAGTAGCAACTCCTATACCCACCACAAGATTCCTGAAGAAATTCTGCAGCATCACTTTGGTAGTGTCAGAATAATGTTTTCTATAATGGCATAGTTGTTTTAAAGAGTCATTCTCCAAGCTTAGAAGATGAAGAATGTGTGCTATGAAAGGAAGAAGACCAGAGTTCAAATGCCAAGTACCTATAGAAAAGCTGGGCATGGCCATGAGTTCCCGTCACCCCAGCACTGGGACTGGATGAAGAACAGCAAGCAGATCCTGGGAACTTGATGGCCAGTCAGCCTAGCTCTGTCTAAAAAATTAGATGGAGCCACAGCCACCATACCCCACCCACACCATACCCTACCATATACAACTCTCAAAAAAGATTCATTCATCAATAAAGCCATTCAGCAGACTGACAAAATACTGTTTGTTGTTATTGTTTTGTTCATGAATTTCCTGAGGTATAGTCTCCCTATCAGAGGAATGCTGTGGGATGTCTTTCTGTGAATATGTGTTGCTCCAATTGGTTGATAAATAAGGCTGTTTGGCCAATGGTGAGGTAGAATAAGGTTAGGCAGTACATTTGAACTGGAGAGAGAGGAGAGGAAAGGACAGTGGAGCAGAAGCTGTGAGCTGCTGCCAGGAGAAACAAGATGTGAAAATACTGGTAAGCCACAGACACTTGGCAATGCATAGATTAATAGAAATGGGCTGAGTTAAGTTGTTAAGAGCCAGTTAGCAAGAAGTCTGAGCCATTAGGGCATACAGTTTGTAAGTAATATAAGCCTCTGTGTGTTTTCTTGGGTCTGAGTGGCTGAAGGACTGGGTGGGACACAGGAAAAGTTCCAACTACAGAGGAACTACCAATTTTGTTAGCTATATGCAAGATAACTAGATACACTGTGTGGGTAAAGACAGAATTTTTATGACCAAAGTGCTTGTTAGTATCAAAAAAGATTTTAAGTCAAGGCATTAAAATATCTTTCACTCCACAAGAAAGACAGCCTGGTGAGAATGAATAATATTTATGGAATTATAATTCTATATAATTACAATTATATAGACTTACAATTCTGAATTTCTCAACTGGATTGCCCTTGTACCTAGAAGGAGTAATTGAAAGACCCCTGGCTCATTCCTTTCTCAACTCCAAGTTGACAACAATGTTGGACCTTCCACCAGAGACGAGGCTCTGTCCAAAGAACCAAGAACACAATATTTTTGCACAGCACACTCCTTGGTGACCTACACAGAAGGAGACAAATACTTCCTGACAGAGGTATGCATTTATCCCATGCCCTAACAGCTTTCCTTGTTCCAATGGGAAATTCATTATACTCAGATCCTGCCCTTTTATTGGCTTCAAATGTGTTAATATAACACAAATGCTAAGGCATCACCCACTAATATTTAAAGCAATGATATTATGGAGCACTTTTTTAAACATCAGAATTTAATGCAAGTTTACAGAAAAGAGTTATTAAATAAATATCAAATTCCTTGTAGTGATGGAGAACATTACTGTGCCTACACAAATGTGCCTTGGATTTTCCACTCAATCTCTTCTCCCTAGTATGCTCCTGGACACGTCAGTTTACTTTTAGGAAAGGCAACATATTAGTTACATTTCGCATCACTATCACAAAATACCTTTTGGTTGATATGACTGAGCAGATAAGATGCTTGTTGCCATGCCTGAACATCTGAGTTCAAACGCTGGGACTTACATGGTAGAAGTTGTTCTCTGACCTGCAATGGATCACTATGACACATGTATGCACACACTCATGTGCTCACACAAATACATACGATAAATTATTTAAGAAGCAATGGGGTTTTCTTTAAAACTACATTTTGGCTCACAGTCTGAAAGGAGATACAGTCCGTTATGGTCAGAAGACACAGCTTTGGGAGTGTGAGGCAGCTGGTCACACTGAGTCTACAATGAGGACACAGAGAAAGATGAATACCAGGGCACAGCCGGCCCTTTGCTTCCTTCCTTCTTATTTAATCCCAGATCCCAACCTATAGGGTGATGCCACCCCTTGTCAGGATCTGTCGGTCTCTCGGAAAATGCCCTCAGAGACATGTCTACAACAGTGTGTTCCTGGGTGACTGCAAACCCGGTCAACCTGACAAAAAAGATTTAACCACCACAGGGAGTTGTACCGCCATGTATGATGTGGAGATACCTGCTGCCCCCCTGCAGAAGATTGGTGAAGGCCCCCAGGAAATAATCCTTGGTAAATAATTATCAATTATCCCTGATGCCATAAAAAATTTACTTCCGTGATATTTTATTGGTGTTCCTTTCTTCTTTTATGTGTATGTATGTATATACATATATATAGTTGTAACTTTTTTAATTAGATGACTTTTTAATTTTTTTTAAATTTTTTTGCTTGTCATCTCATTTTTGTGATGATATGTTATGAGCTACTCCAGAGCCAAGTAAATACCTATAGATTAGTCAATAAATTCACTCAATAAATACATGTATGCGGGTGCTTTATCTATCCAGTTAGACTTCCTTACAGTCCAGGAAAACTATGAGGAAGATTCCAAAATTCATGCCTCTGTGAAATTTATAATCTGGTGAGATTTCAAGTGTTGTGGGAACAAAAGAAAAACAACACAATATAGTTTTCAAGGGGAAAAAAATGTGATGGTTGATTTTATTGTCACCGTGCCACAGATTACAGTCATCCGAGAAGGGAGCCTCAACGAAATGCTTCTTCTGATTGACATAACTGATGTGAAGACCCACCTCAAGTACGGATGCTACCTTCTGGTGGCAATGTAGCTTGAGTTTTCCTGCCTGGCCCACAGTCAGGACAAATCTCTTTCACCTGCCAGTCTCACAGCCTCTCGGACCCAACCAAGTAAACACAGAGACTTATATTGGTTTCAAACTGTATGGCCATGGCAGGCTTCTTGCTAACTGTTCTTACAGCTTAAATTAATCCATTTCTATTAATCTATACCTTGCCACATGGCTCGTGGCTTACCGGCATCTTCACATGCTGTTTCTCATCGTGGCAGCTGGCAGTGTCTCTCTGACTCAGCCTTCCACTTCCCAGCTTTATTCTCCTCCTTGCCCCGCCTACACTTCCTGCCTAGCCAATGGCCAATCAGTGTTTTATTTATTGACTAATTAGCAACACATTTGCCATACAGAACATCCCACAGCACTTCCCCCTTTTTTTTTTCAAAAAGGAAGGTTTTAACTTTAACAAAGTAAAATTACATATAATTTGGGAATTTGGGCGTAGCTTCTCTTACTACTTCCTGCTTGAGGGGGGCGCTGTATCTTATGGGGATACAAAGAAAATTTTAGAATTATAGAATAGTCCATGAGGGTGTATCATCTGAGCCAGTTGCCTTCAAATCATTCTGGATGTTGGATCATCTGGGCCATGGTGTCATCTGGGCCATGGTGTCATCGGAGACCTTTCAGGGGGTCTTGGCTGGTCAAACCTGATGTATCTTAATCTTGAACAAATCCATAGCCTCTGGCTTTCTGTGGGAATAAAAGCAGAGACTCCTTTCCAAAGCAACACATCCTTACATCCAAATTTTGAAGTCAAAGTATCTTTAAAATATGCATATTGGTTTAACTCAGCTTCCTTTACAATCAAATATCTCTCTGTAGTTAAGAATCCCAAAGACAACACAATCCAGATTCTCTGTGTAATATTCATCTTCACGTGGCTTATTTTTTATATTAATTTTACTGTCTCTTTAAAGACTTTATTTTTTAAAACTATGTATTTGTTTCTATAACTGTATATATCACCTTTTTTGTCTCTTTCAAGCCTACGAATATTTTACACACATTTTAAACTATTACATCTGAAACTGTCTTATTGTGACTCTATTGCTTTAAGCTGCAGCAGCTGTGGCTTCTGGCTCCACCCACCTCAGCTTCCCAACATGGCGGCGGTACTGTAGTTTTCC